TTTTTTTTTTTAGAAAAGGAGAACAAAATGTTCAGTTTTCACATTACACATTTATAATATATATTGAAAGACTCAAGGGTATATTTAATAAATCGAACCAAGTAATCAGAGGAAAGTTACAATCAATTTCAAGTCTCTTATAAATCATTTTGGACTTGATGGCCCAGCATTAATTTAATTTTTTTTAAGTGATGAATGGGCCATGGTGAAACGCCAGATGTTTTCTTAAGTATATATCAAAAGGAGAAAAGAATATATAGATATATTTAAAATACCTTAACAGCTGTACTTATGCTTTATGGTGACTGCCAAATCAAAAATAATGCAGAAAAAGAGAAATAAATTATGCGTAATTTACTAGCTGGAACTGCTGATCATATTGTTTGTGGTATTATGATATGCATCTTTACGACATTAAGATAAAGAAGCAGTTCAGCTGAAAAAAATGCGCACCATCATGAAATACTATGAGAACAAGACAAAACAAGACATCACGGTGTGGATGCCCTATTCTGAACAGGGCCTCAGAACAAGTTATTTAAGAGAGAGAAAAGCAGGAAAAGTTTGCTGAAGGAAACACGTGAATTGACCAATATGGTGTCCAAGAGCGGGTGGAATCTCAATGTTGCTTGAGATAATTGATTACTGTTTACTTCTACAGCAGGGACTCCAAACTTGGCAACTTTAAGACTTGTGGACTTCAACTCCCAGAATTCCCCAGCCAGCACGTGCATCACCACTGTGATGTCTTGTTATCATTGCATTTCATGGCTGGCTGAGGAATTCTGGGAGTTGAAGTCCACAAGTCTTAAAAGTTGCCAAGTTTGGAGACCCCTGCTCTTCAGGATGCCAGCTTTTTCACCTGTATGGAAAAAAAGAGGGCAAGCTTAACACCTAAACTTAAACCGTGAAACATACATACAATGTGGATTAAATTTATCTTCTAATTTCCCACTTGATCACTGTTAATTCTATTGATGCCTATTCAGAAAAGAGCCTTGGCTGCTGCTCATTCATTAAATGGAGTTTAGGATGGTAGGTTCAAGCTTGCTTTGTGTGCAACATCTTCCTGCCTTTGGATTTCCCTGACTTTGTAAATATTTTGCAGTTGTCTTCAACCTCTGAAATCCATTGGACATTGATAAAAATAGCTCTCCAACTAGAAAGGCTTGTTCCATCCCTCACTTTTTTAAGAAAAGAAAAGGAAAGTTGGGGTTCTCAAAAAGCTTCTTTGAAATGCGACATTTTCCCATAATCTCTATCTAGGTGGTCCTCAATTTACGAATCCCAAATTTTTGTTGCTATATGAGGCATCCGCTAAGTGAGTTTTGCCCCATTTTACGACCTTTCTTGTTAAACGAATCACTGCAGTTGTGAAGTGAGCAACACCGTTGTTAAATGAATCTGGCTTCCCCATTGACTTTACTTGTCAGAAGATGCCAAAAAGGTGATCACATGACTCTGGGGACGCTGCAACCGTCATAAATATGAATCCGTTGCTAAGCATCTGAATTATGGATCACGTGAGGATGCTGCAGTGGTTGCGTGAGTGTGAAAAGTGGGCATAAGTCACTTTTTTTTCAGTGCCGTTGTAACTTTGAATGGGCACTAAATGAACTGCTGAAAGTCAAGGACTTTCTGTATATGATTTATATATGATTGTAATAAACCAATTAGGATGGTCCAAAGGATGGCAAAATGAGCCTGCCGCCCGTATCTTTCCTACTTCTATCAGCAGTTTCGTTTATGAAATTGGCCAAAGCCACCTGCGTTCCCTAGATCTATGGCTGGGGTCTTCAAACTTGGCCCTTTTATGACTTGTGGACTTCAACTCCCAGAATCCCTCAGCCAGGCATGCCTGGCTGAGGAATTCTGGGAGTTGAAGTCCATGAGTCATAAAAGGGCCAAGTTTGAGGACCCCGGATCTATGGTCCTCAAAGTGCTTCAAACTAATCTTGAGCGAGAAGAGGGAGAGGTGCGAAAGAGAGAGAAGGGGAAAAAAAAAGAAAATAAGATGACATTAAACCCACTTATTCGAAGTTTTTTTGTTCCACCTTCACCTCAACAGACAGTCAAAATTTACCCAAGTCCAGGCAACATGCAACAGACTCTGGCAGTCAACTGTCTTTCATTCACTCCAGTGTCATCAAAAAAAAAATAAGGATTATGGAACCAAATTTCCTCCAGTATTGGAATAAATTGTCGGACTAAGGGCAGGAAGTCTTGCACATTAGTAAGGGTTTTTGAGCAGAAGGCTCATCACAATATGTGTCTGAAATGCCAATGTTTAGACTGGGGGTTGGTTTGTGAATCGATTAACTCTGGCTTATTAGAAGTTCCTGGAAACCACAAAAAACAGTAGCCCAGTGATATCAGGGCATCTCTTACATGCATCTCTTCAAACCACAAGAAACGGGAAAGCTTCAGCTCCTGCACTTATCACAACATGTGGAAAACAAGACGACAGACCTGCTAGGTCAGGGGTAGGCAACCTTGGCTCTTTTATGATTCATGGACTTCAACTCCCAGAATTCCTGAGCCAGCATGGCTCAGCTTGGAAACCTCTCCCTTTCCCCTCAGCATGGCTGGCTCAGGAATTCTGGGAGTTGAAGTCCACGAGTCATAAAAGAGCCAAGGTTGCCTACCCCTGTGCTAGGTGAAACACCCATAGGCTCCATGTGATTTCCACAAATCGCACACAATGTTATTGGTGTGACATTAAGATATAGACTCACCCTCCATCCTATTAAAGATGCAATTTGGACAGAAATCTTAACCAATCCTTTTCTTTTCATTCCTGTGACCTGATTAGGAAGCTGAATCTTCCCTTTTTGTTACTCTGTAAAAAATCTATGTTTCCATACCCACCTATTTGCAGATACGATACAGATTCAAACTTTTGTGAATACAATCCAGCTATTCAATTTTGTCTTGCAATTATCTGGTTCCCCCCCCCCCCCTTAAACCATAGACACACAACCTACGCACATATACACACAAATCCACAGTTTGCCAGCCTCTATATAGATTTGATTCACCTGAGAAGGACTCCAAGTTTATTTTTTTTAAAAAAGCAACAAGAACTAACCTTAGTAGCTGATGGCAATGGACTTCTTCGTGGGATTGTCTAAGACACGGTACTTTCCTAATTTAAGACTGAAGACATGGATGAAAGAAAGAAAATCAAGACAACCAATGAGGAAAGAAAACATGAGATGGACATCACATCAGTACAGATTTGGCACTTGATCAAAACATGGTCTGGGTCTGCAATTGGTGAAAAGGTGAAAGGAGATCGTTCTTAGAAAGGAAGAGGCTGATTGGCTAGTCCAGGGGTAGGCAACCTCGGCTCTTTTAGGACTCATGGACTTCAACTCCCAGAATTTCTGAATCAGCATAGCTGACTCAGGAATTCTGGGAGTTGAAGTCCATGAGTCCTAAAAGAGCCGAGGTTGCCTATCCCTGGGCTAGACACTTGGGGCGGTTACAACAGAAGCCCATATAGCAGAATATATGCAGAATAACTGCAGCCCATATAGCAGAATATGCTCAGTTGGGATTATGAACACCAAATTAAAAGAATGGCTGAGAAGACAGAATTGGGAAGAGATTATGGGTATTTTTCTAAGATATTCTTATTTGGGGACCCAACCACTGAAAGGACCAATGAAGGAGAATATTTATAGCTCAGGGTTGAAATGAGGAGTCCTTGGTGCTCTCTGAGCTTGGTGTTTTCTTGGAGACATTTCATCACCCAACTGAAGGCTTAGTGTTTAACAGAATAACAGAGTTGGAAGGGACCTTGGAGGTCTTCTAGTCCAACCCCCTGCTCAAGCAGGAGACCCTATATCATTTAGGTAGTATCACCAGTGCTAGAAGAGAGTGGACTTTGCTTCCAGCACTGAGGGTGTTACCTATTTGGGGTAATGAAACATCTGCAAGAAAATAACCAAGCTCAGAGAGTATCACGGCTGCTTCACTAAAAAGACCTTTGAAAAGATGATGATAGGACAATAATGAAGGGCAATTATCCATTTTGGATAATTAATTTATGTCTTTCACTGTGAAAAGACCTTATCTGGATGGCGGACCCTAAATTTATTTGCAAAAGGGCTGGTGGCATTCAGAATTTGGGAGGAGTTGAGAACCCACTGCTTACTAGACCAATGTTTCTCAACCTTGACAATTTTAAGGCATGTGGACTTCAACTCCCAGAATTCCACAGCCAGCATTGCTGGCTGTGGAATTCTGGGAGTTGAAGTCCACATGCCTTAAAATTGTCAAGGTTGAGAAACACTATAAAACTAGACTAAGATGAACAGATCTGGGCAATCTTTATTCAATCAAGAGTTACATTCCCACTGGACTAATAGGCTAGGACCACACAGCTGACATCAGGAGGGGCAGAGTCCAAATTGGACACTGTCCACTTTTTATGAGACCTTTCATGCAGAGAGCTTTAGAAGGAACAGATGGTTTTTATTCTGATTTCAAGAGCTCTGAAGGTAGACTGAGGGTCAATTCCTGTTCTGAAAAGATAAGTGTTCTGGCCTGGCGTAAGGTACATTGATAAGACCAAAGGTGTGGGCTGTAAATGATATAACTAATGCAAAAGTTTATTGCATCCTGCACAGTATCCCCTTGGCACTGGTATAAGACACCAAAGGCTCTGAGCAGGTCCTAAATGTTCAGTCTCCAGCATCTTGATTTTTTTTCTACACAATGATCCTTAGGTTCTCTTCCGTGCTGCAGAGCCCCCATGACTCAGATGCTGCACGGACTCAACCCCAGCTTGGTCCCTGCATCCCTGCCAGATGCACAAACGTGCTTTCAAGTCTAATTCTGGAAAGGTGGAAGAAAACATGGTGGGAAAAAAGAGGGAGGGGAGGAATGAAAAAGAATCGTTATCGTTTCTCCCTCCCCTCTTACCAGATGCATCGTTATCTCTCCCCACCCCACCCCGCCCCCAAATCTTAATTTTTCTTTAAATTGTACACAAAACAACAGAACACATTCACAAGCCACTTGTTGGCACTGTGTACCTGAGTGAGAATTTTCTAGAACATTATAGAACAAATAGCCATAAAGTTTATTTGAAAAAAAAAATAATAATAAAAGGTCGAACGGGTAAGACTTCAGTGCTTGGGTATAGCAGCTGAATTACTGGCATTATGTTACCCATAGCTTATTTTGTCCTCTTTTTTTGTTTGTTTGTTTGTTTTAAATCTCTGTCATTATTGACTTTCTTGATAAGGGTTTCTTCCTCTGAGCCTTTTGTCTTTTTTTGTCTTTTTTTTTTCCTTTAGAATTCTTTTCTTGCTTTTTCCAAAAGTTCTCAATGCAGGCTGATATCTCCTGATAAGCTGATGTCCCAAACTAGTTAAGACTAAAAAGTTTTAAGTAACAGTCAGTGTGTGAGGGTAAAGTTCATGTGCTTGGCCAATGGGTAAGAAACCAGACGGAGCTCTCCATTAAAGTCCTCCGAGGTCAAAACCAAGAATGGGAACCCGTGATCAGTTGGCTTGTCCCGCAATGTGATTTTCGCTATCACTGCCGTAGTCTACATCAGGGTCCTCTTCCTCCTCTTCCTCATCTTCGTACATTTCACCGTTGAGGTCCTCGCTCTGTATCTCCTCTTTGACATGAGAAGTCTCCTCATTTTTGATGCCGTAAGTGCTCTGGATAATGGGCATCCCGGGCTCTGGGCTACTAGATACACTCGAATGCTCGGAGGGAAGATGTGGGGAGGGCATTCCTGTCATGGCGATGGCTCCTGGGTAGACGACACCGGCTGTTGCAATAGGAATCTGAGTTTGCTGTCTGTGGGCGGCAAAGGAAAAGAGGCATGAACAATAGTTAAACATGGAAACGGGTGTGGTCTTCTAAGTATCTCTTCTCTTCCCCAGATTTTAGAGCAGAGATGGAACATCTTCAGATGTTGCTGGAGGACAGTTTTCAACAGCTCCACTTAGCTTGGCCACTGGCGAGAGGTGCGAGATTTATTTATAAAAATAAATAGATCTGTAGTTCAGCAACATCTGGAGAGCCACATACTGTTCATCTCTTTCTCTGCTGCAGAGCCACCGTGGTTCAGATTCTGCATGGATTCAACGTGGCTTGGCCCCTGCATCCCTGCCAGATTCATAATGTGCCTTCAAGTTTGTTCATTTGTTCGTTCGTTCATCCATTCATTCATTCCACCAATCATTTCAATCAATTCTTATGGGTGCTCTGTCAACATGCAACTCATGTTGAGATCGTAAGTGACCCCCCCATTCCCTTTTTCCCCTGTAGCCTAATAAAAAGTTAAATCCCCCAAAATTGCCCAGGCAAGTTGAATGGAGGGAAATATAGGTGTCCCAGGATAATGTTGCAGGATCCAATCTGGGTTGGTCACTAGGACCAGGGGTTTAGTCTTCCAAGCTTTCGGACTAGTGCTGAAGTCCATCCTCAGAGAACTTCTCTCTACCAGAATATGTGCTTTGGGCTATTCTATGTGTAATATTTATGCAGTGCCTGATTGTGTGTGGCTTTTTAGTTGTTGACGGGGTGTTGATGTCTAAGTTGATGTCTACTAAGTCATTGGCTGTTGTTTCTTTGTGCTGCCAAGTCCTTGGCTCCTAAGTACCTGGTAGTAAATCATCACTCCTGTTGAGTGAGGGGCCCGTTTCCCAGGCTTCAATCATTTCCCTGGCTATCTTTGTACCTGCTCAGCCAACAATCTTAATAGCTGGAACTGGATGTATGTGCTTTTTCATTTCAATGTGAGGCTACCAATGAGTTTGGGTCTCCTCATCTGACCATCCCCTTGAGTTCTTGCAATCTGGTGGTAAATACTACACCTAGAATAGCCCGAAGCACACTCCACCATTCTGGTACAGAGAAGTTCCCTGAAGATGGGTTCCAACATTGAGTCCAAAAGCTTGGAAGACTAAACCTCTGGTCCTAGTGACTGACCTACAGTAGGTTTGGTCCAGATACTACACAGTCAAATAACAACACTGTAGCCATCTTGCACAGCCGTAATATATAAAAGAACCACTCATTTTGTATTCTAAAAGCTTTGAAGAGATACTTTTATAAACCACCATGAAAAAATGCAGGAGGCAAGCATTGGAGTTATGGTGGACAGTTGGGCTTCTGCATCAGAGATTTAGACCTCTAATTCTTATAGCTGATTATTCAAAAATGACACTGAATGGGAGAAGATTTGAAGCCACTATTATTGATTTTATTCGGGCTGATGATCTCTCTTTTTTTCTCTCTTTCCCTATATGCATGTTTTAGCTAGCTTTGCAAACTGGGACATAGCAGCTCCTTGATCACAACTGGTTTGAGAAGAGTCCAAGGCAAACACAGGAGAGAGAGAGAGAGGGAGGAAGGGGGAGGGAGAGAGAGAGAGAGGGAGGGAGGCAGGGAGAGAGAGGGAGGGAGGCAGGGAGGGAGGGAGAGAAAGGAAGGGAGCGAGAGAGAGAGGGAGGGAGGAGAGGAGAGGGGGGAGGAGAGACAGAGAGAGAGGGGAGAGGGAGGGGGGAGGGAGGAGGGAGAGAGAGAGGAGGGAGAGAGAGAGGGAGAGAGAGAGAGAGGGAGAGAGAGAGGGAGGAGGGAGGGAGGAGGAGAGAGAGAGGGGGGAGGGAGGGAGAGAAAGGGAGAGAGGGAGGGAGGAGAGAGAGAAGAGGGAGAGAGAGAGGGAGAGGAGGGAGGGAGAGAGAGAGAGGGAGGCAAGGAGAGAGAGAGAGGGGAGGGAGGGAGAAAGAGAGAGAGGGGGAGGGAGAGAGAGAGAAGGAGGAGAGAGAGAGGGAGGGAGGGAGGGAGGCAAGGAGAGAGAGAGGGGGGAGGGAGGGAGAAAGGGAGAGAGGGAGGGAGGGAGAGAGAGGGGGAGGGAGGGAGAGAGAGAGAAGGACGGAGAGAAAGGGAGGGAGGGAGAGAGAGAGAGGGAGGGAGCGAGAGAGGGAGGCAAGGAGAGGGGGGGAGGGAGGGAGAAAGAGAGAAAGGGAGGGAGGGAGGGAGAGAGAGAGAAGGAGGGAGAGAGAGAGAGGGAGGGAGGGAGGAAGAGAGAGAAGCTAATTACTTGAAGAAACCTACTGCCAAATGCTTCATTCAAATCACTGCAGTCAATCTGATTTGTTAATAAAGGCCATTGATCCAGAAACTAATCTGAATAACAGGAAATCTCTAAACCTAAAGCCAGACCCAGAAATATATATCTGTTCAGTCGCATTTGCTTTAAGCTTAAGCCTGTTCCTTTCCATCCTGAGCCTAACAGCCTTCAGGCACATGGACAAGATCTTGACATTATTACTCGACAGGCACTATTAAAGACAGAACTGGCTATCATGGGCATACTGGTGAGGACCTCATCCAGACACTTCATGTAGAGGTTAAATAGAAAGGAGAAATGTGTCAAGCCACTTGTGAAGCACTTCACAAACCAAGGGCTTTAGGTCTGACTTCTTCCCCACTCCATTACCCTGAACTGAGACCAGCCATAAATAAAGGAGAACCATCACAATCCTAGGGCTCCCACTGTCAACCTCTACAGATAGTCTAGAAGAGGGGTGTCAAACTCAATTTCATTGAGGGCCGCATCAGCTTTGCGGTTGCCCTCAGGGGGCCGGGTGGGTGTGGCCAGGGTGGGTGCGGCCTACTAGGTGGGCGTGGATGGAGTGGGTGTGGCCTACTGGGTGGGTGTGGCCAGCTCTACATCATTTGCATCAAGGGTGCCTGTGGGGGCCTGGGCAGGAGTGGGATAGATCTGAGGGTCTCTGGCAGAAGGGGGTGGGACCGGGGCATGTGCCAAGGCATGGTCCACCAGGGCAAGTGCCAAGATGGCCACCACAAAATTGTACATTGGCTCCCGGCTGGCCTGGGCCAGGGCCAAGACAGAGGGGGCCGTTCCCTCACTGTTTCCAGGATGGCTTCGCGGGCCACATGAAACCACTTTGCGGGCCGCATCCGGCCCCCGGGCCTTCTGTTTGACATGTCTTCAATAGCACGAAGGACTGGGTTATTCTTGGGCCTTCTGTATTCTCTTCTTGAATTCTGGAACTCCAGCTGTATTCTATTCCATGATCCCTGCAAACCTACGAGACCGAACACCTATTTTCTCTTTTCTCTTCTCCGACAAACTAATCCCTCTGTGATAATATTGTGTTGAACATGCTTTGCACTCCTAATACCCTCAAAAATCTGTCCATCTGGAAAGAGAAGGCTCACTGTGAGAGAGAAGAGAAACATCCTTAGAGAGTAGCAGATTTGACTGGAGAGCAAAGCTGTACACTGGCCCATCGGGTTGAGCGTACAATAAGCTCCTGACTGATCCTGGAAAGCTCGGGGGGGGGGGGTATTGGCTCTCAGTTCTTTGCTACATGTCCAAATATCTTGATTTTGTCAGCCAAAAGGTGGCTGTTGTTTGTGTATTATTCTAAGACAAATAGAGCTATCCAGGGAATAAGGGGAGGATTGTCAGCTATCCCCTTCACATCATTGAAACAGAGAAGCAGATGACCATCTGTCCCAAAAAGCACAGCCGTTCTGATCAGGACCATCAGATCCGTGTTTCTCAACCTTCGGAACTTGAAGTCCACACAGCTTCAAGTTCACAAGATTGAGGAATATGGCATTGGATGAAACATTGTTGTTCTTCATGGTACCTGAAGCAGAGGTATCTCGTTTTTCTTCTGCTCGAGGACCAGTTTTGGCTCTTGAGAGACAGACCTACGACCACATTTCAAAAGTAGGTGAGGCCAGGATTAGAACTGACTCTGATTTAGAATAGAATAGAATAGAGTAGAGTAGAGTAGAGTAGAGTAGAATAGAATACAATAGGATAGAATAGAATAGAATAGAATAGAATAGAATAGAATAGAATAGAATAGAATAGAGTAGAATAGAATAGAATACAATAGGATAGAATATAATAGAATAGAATAGAATAGAATAGAATAGAGTAGAATAGAATAGAGTACAGTAGAACAGAGTAGAGTAGAATAGAGTAGAATAGAATAGAGTAGAGTAGAGTAGAGTAGAATAGAATAGAATAGAATAGAATAGAATAGAATAGAATAGAATAGAATAGAATATGGAATGGAAGAATGGAATAGAATAGAATAGAATAGAATAGATATAGGAAGAATAGAATAGAATAGAATAGAATAGAGATAGAAAGAATAGAATAGAAAATATGGAATGGAATGGAATGGAATGGAATGGAATGGAATAGAATAGAATAGAATAGAATAGAATAGAATAGAATAGAATAGAATAGAATAGAATAGAAGCTGGAAGGGACCTTGGAGTTCTTCTAGTCCTTTTTTACTGCAACCTCTTCATTACAGTCATCCATTGCTGATTGAACTGGAGAACCAACCTTATTGAAGGATTCCCCACAAACATCAACCCGTCAATAAAATAAAAATAAATGAAGAAATCCCTGCGTATAGAAAGCTGTCCGATTAAAATGAATTTTATATGTATGAATTTGGCGAGACGAATGTCTCTCACCCAGCTTTCCCACTTCTGAGAACTTAGACTGGAATCAAAAGCAACGTGAAATTGACTAGATAAATGTATTTTAAAGGCCCCTATCCTGTTTGGCAATACTTGTTTGGCTTAAGAACAAATCCTAAGAAAGAGATTTCTTGGGACTCCAAAATGCCTCTGCTAACATAGAACAAAATTGATTTTTAAGCAGCCGCTCATTTCTTTTGCTGGATAGTCACGGACTGTGTCGTTTTACTCCCATGTCCCAATTGTATCAGATTAGGATCTCAGCTGTACAACCTGATCCTACGCCGGGTGCAACAACCTGCTAAGCCAGTGGTTCTCAACCTTTTTAATGCCGCGACCCCCAACCGGTCGTAAGTCGAGGACTAAACCGGTCGTAAGTCGAGGACTAAACTGGTTGTAAGTCAAGGACTACCCAACCAGTCGTAAGTCGAGGACTTTCCCTTCCCGGGAGCGCCGCGGATGTGTGGTGCCGCCCCCTGCGCCGGCCGAGACGTAGCTGGCAAGCGGCAGAGACGGAGCAGGCCGACCACCGGCTGGGCCACCAGCTGGTCCAGCCCAAGGGAGGTAAGGCACCCGCCGGAAAAGGGGAAAAAAATGGCAGACAGCCTTGCTTGGCGACCCCCGTGAAATGGTCGATCGACCCCAAATGGGGTCCCGACCCATAGGTTGAGAACCGCTGTGCTAAGCGCTTGTTAAAAAAAAAACAACACTGCCTCCCAAGGGCTCCCAACTTACCACCGATTCCAGAGGCATAATTGCACGATTCGACAAACATTTCAGAAAAGCCCCAATCGGCTTCTGCTAGATAAAGACCTTATACACAACGCACTGTTTTCCCTAGCTGTAGAGGCAGGCCAGTCCTTGGCAGACTCCATAAGGAAGTTGAATAACATTTTAAATCTTGCAAGATGTTCCTTCCCCTCTTCTAACATTGTCAAGCGTCAGTGTCGGGGAGATAAGTGGAATTTGGGAGGCTTTGTTATCTCCTATTCTTTTTCCAAAAGGTCCTCCCTCCCTCCTTCTCCCCTTAATCTCCTGATGCCAAGGTTTGGCTGGCATCCCTGTGTTTGATTCATTGTATACCGGGGAGGGGGGGAGAATCATTCGAATTGCCAACACCACAGGGTTAAGCGGCTCAGATTTCTGGGCTGAGAAATCTGCTTATTATTACAACACACACTATTGCTGTTTAGAGAAACTGCCTCCTGACACTCAGCAGCTACTGGACAAATTCATCCCCACTCATCATTACTGACACCCATTAACCAAACTCTAAACAGCCGGCTATCGTTCGGCGTGGTCCAGCCAGGGGTAAACATACTTTTGAAACATCTTTGATTTCGAGGGGAGAGATTGAAACCGGTGCCTAATCCTCAAATATGAAAGAAAAATAAAATGAAATAAAATAAATGGGGCTGGAATGCGCTTAGACGAGCGTGGATTTGATCAAGATAGAAACACGGGACCCTGTAGCGGCATAAAAGTGTTGCCAAGTGCCTGAATAGCAGTCACATGTCTGCAGGGGCTGGTGCTGGTGATGTTGACCATCAGAACCTCACATATCGGTTGTAAGTCCCCATTTTGGGGTCCATCACAACTGTGGACGGTTGCTAAGCGACCGGTCATAAGCTGAGGACTACATGACATGGATAGTGCAGATGTCCAACAGAACAGGGCTGCCACAAAGGTGGTCAAACTATTCTCCAAAGGACCAGAGGGAAGGACAAGAAACAATGGTTGGAAACTGAACAAAGAGAGAAGCAACCTGGAATTAAGGAGAAAGTTCCTAACGGTGAGGACAATTAACCAGTGGAAGCTTCAGAAATCGTGGATGCTCCATCACTGGAGGTTTTTAAGAAAAGGCTGGACAGCCACTTGTCTAAAATTATATAGGGTCTCCTGCTTAAGCGGGGGGCTGGACTAGAAGACCTCCAAGGTCCCTTCCAGCTTCTATTCTATTCTATTCTATTCTATTCTATTCTATTCTATTCTATTCTATTCTATTCTATTCTATTCTATTCCCTTCTGTTTCATATTAATATTCTATTCTATTCTATTCTATTCTATTCTATTCCATTCCATTCCATTCCATTCCATTCCATTCCATTCCATTCCATTCCATTCCATTCTAAACTGGTAGAGCGGCAGATCCAAATTCATCATAGGGAAATGCACTATTAATGCTTATTAATCATAATGATTACTTGGACCGTCTGTTGCTGGGTACTAGGTAAATGCCGTAGTTGAGAATCAATTTGGCAAATTTTTCCACCCAGAAAATGATTTTTTTCCCCTGTCATGAGACAAATATATGCCATACGCAAGTAGCATTGGATGTACAAATGCAGGGTCAGTGGGGAAGAGGGGATGGTTTCGCGCACGTGCACACATCACGTTCATAAATGCAGCTTCACGCGTGTGTGTGCATGAGCATGCTCGCCCACCACTTCTGTAGTCCAGTTCCAAAGGGGTTGCAGCCCGGCACTGCAGCCCAGGCGTTGGGGGACTCCTGTTCTACATTTTCTTCAATTCTATCAGGCCGCATCAGGAAAACTTTGCTAAGATTCATAAAATCTGGGACTTGCAACACTACAACGTGCACACCACCTTCCCCTGCCATTCCCATGGAATTAAATGTAATGGGATGCAAAGGGATCGTACCCCACATTGAAATATTGCCTCATCTCTTGACGTCGGTTCCTCATGATTGCCTTATATTCGCCGATCCGTAACTTCTTGCCATCTACTAAGCACGTCCGCTTTGGCCTGGGTTTGTACTTGTAGTCTGGGTACTTCTCCAGGTGCTGCTTGCTGAGGCGAGCCTGCTCCTCGTAGTATGGCTGTTTTTCAAGGTTCGTCATAGCTTTCCAGCGAGATCCTGATAAGGAAAGAGGAACAGGAAAATCAACCCTCCTTTCAAACAGTCAAAGCAGTGGGGATCATCCTCTCGACTCAGATTGCCAATGGGGAAAGTTCAAGTAGTCCACAAATTACAACAGTGCGTTTAGCGACCGGTCAAAGTTACAATTCATGAGTGAAATTCGGGAAAATGCTTTTTCCTTTGGATTTACAAACTGGACCAAGGCAATGTTGTGTTAATATTTAAAGAAAGAAAAACATTACAATGGCGGGAATAATATCCATTTGCTAGCTGGCCAGTTTGTTTTGCCTAGGGCAGCGGTTCCCAACCTTTCCTATACCCCGTACCCCTAGAATGCTTCGGATATATTCTCGTACCCCTTGACAAAAAATTATGTTCTACACACTATAATTTCGAAACTTTTAAACCTAAGTTTTCGCACCCCCTGGAATATCGTCTTGCACACCCATGGAGTGCGAGTACCCCCGATTGGGAACCCCTGGCCTAGTGGAACAGGGGTGGACATTTGTTTCTTAAAAAAGGGAAGAAGGAAAAAAACCTCACTCTTGATGGTCATAATCTGGGATGGGAGACCGAGACAGGGAAGTGGGAAAAAAAAGATCCAATGGGATATTACTTAGTCATGTTTTGTTGTTCTCAATCTCTTTGGGGAAACTGAGGTGAATGGAAACAAAGATTGCATGGAGATTCTTGCCATGTTCCTGTCAGGAAAATGTCACAGGGAGTAAGATAAGATAAGATAAGATGATAAGGCAAGGCAAGACAAGGCAAGGCAAGATAAGATAAGATAACCTTTATTGTCATTTTTTTTACTGTGGGCACAACGGCACACATCAAAAATGAAATTTAGTTGCCTGCTCTCAAAGTGAAACACATACATGACACACACCTAAACATACTATATACAACATATATATAGACCCACACCCCTACATATACATAACAAATAAATATTAAATATGTCCATCTTGAATATATAATGGAAGGAGGAAGCTTGAGTGTGTTCTTTCATGTAATGCTCTAGAGAGGCCATTTAATACAGGTAATCCTCAAGTTACAGCAGTTCATTTAATGACCAAAAAGTGACTTATGACCATTTTTCACTGTTATGACCGTGGCAGCATCCCCATGGTCATATGATCAAAATTTGGGTGCTTGGCAACGGATTGATATTTATGACAGTTGCAGTGTCCCAGGGTCACGTCATCCATTTTTCTGACCTTCTGACAAACAAAGTCAATGAGGAAAACCAGATTCACCTTACAACTGTGTTATTAATTTAACTTCAGCGATTCACTTAATAGCTGTGGCAGGAAAGGTCAGAAAATGGGAGCAAAACTCACTCTGTCTTGCTTAGCAAAAGAAATTTTGAGCTCAGTAATGGTCACAAGTAGAGGACTGCCTGTGAAGCTTTTTGTAGGATTCGATGCGGCCTCGTTTTATTCTAACTAGAAATGGTAGAGTAGGGACAGTTTACAATTATTTTTTTTTTAAAAAACTAAGACATAAATAAAATGAGTTATTCAATAATTTGGTTAAACCTGTTCTTTGGCTCAATTTAATTTGATTCTCAGTCACTAATCCCTTAATTTGTAGACCCCAGTTTAGCAGGCCCGCAATGCAAACAGACAGTATACAAATTTGAATCACTATTGTTTAACAAATTAATCCATAACTACTGCTTATATGACATACATTCCTTAAATCTTACATACATTAGGGACCGTCTGTAAAATTTATGTGAGAGATATAAATTTTAATTTTAACATTGTATGAATTCCGCTTTACTGGACATTTGGCTTGAACAGAAACTATTTCCTCAATAAATCCATAAAAAAAATCTTTTACTGTAAGGATATAATTATAATAACGGCTTCATGCACTAAAAGCTAGAAAGGAGGATTTAACCATTTAATTACTTGCAGTGGTTTCAGTGTATTCTTATTTTCTAAGAATGCCTTTGGAAGCCGAGAATTCTTCTGAGGAAGAAGGAAGGATCGCTCTATTACAGGTTGCAGTGAACCAGGCTGCAATTATATATATATAAATAAAATGTTTTTTTTTTTAAATTAAACCAGATATCATAGGGAATCTGTTACACACCAAGGAACGTTAAGTCCCTTAGCCTTGAGGAATCCAGGACCTTTCAGCTCCTGTTGATCTCACATTTTGCATCTTTGTCAATATTTGTCTTAAATGTATTCTGAATACCCTTAACATTTTTTTATTAGTTAGTCTTTAGGCCATCATATAGTTCCTCAGTGCTAGAGAAAATATAATGAAGAGCCATGCACAAGAGGTGTAAGTAATCACAGATCCCATGTTCCCATCCCAAAAGGAAAACCAAGGGGTCCTACGGAGATCTAGAGCAGGGCTTTTCAACCTTTTCACCCATTGTACCACTTTTAGGATATGGCAATATCCGAGTACCACCAGTCGCCTAGCAAGGTCTCAAAAACTTGATGACCCCCCCCCAAAAAGGAAAAAAGTGATAAAGTACAGGTAGTCCTCGACTTACAACAGTTCGCTTAGTGACTGTTCGAAGTTACAATGGCACTGAAAAAAGTGCCCCCCCCCAAGCCACAGCTGAGCAAGACACCTGCCTGCTCGCCCAGCCACGCTCTTCCTCCTGTCTGAGATTTTCATTGTTGTGAGCATTTCTGTTGAGCATTGGCAGTGGGGGTGGGGTGGGGGGTGTTTGGTTTTTATTCCCTCTGTCTGCTGGGTGGTTGCAGCAGGTTTTGGTCACTTCACATGACTCTGGGACACTGTGACCATCATAAATATGAATCAGTTGCCAAGCATCTGAATGTAAATCACAAGACCCTGGAGATGCTGCAACATTCCAGCTGATGGGCGCTTCTTCTGGGCTTAGCAGAAGCACCAGGATCAGCGCCGAGTTCCAGCTGGAGCCTGGTGCTGATCCTGGCGCTTCCGCTGAGCCCAGACAGCCCTGAAGAAGTGCCGATCAGCTGGAAAGCGGCACTGATCCTGGCACTTCCGCTGAACTCTGACAGCCCTGCAGCTCCAGCCATCTCTCACTCAGGCTTGTGCAGTGCTGCCACCGGTTCAGCTCATTCCCCTCCTCCACTACCACTTTTCTAAGATGGTCGCATACCACCTGCCAGATGCCAATGTACCACAGGTGGTACCGGTACCACTGGTTGAAAAGCCCTGACCTAGAGATCTAACTCTCTGCAGTTATTAAAGTCCCTCCTGTCCTTAGGTGCCTCCATTCTCTTTCCAGCAAAAGACTTTTTTTTTAAACCTTATCCAAATCATAGATTTACCGAGAAACATAAATAGTGAGACGGTTTGGTAGAACGGTGCTTCATCAGGAAAACACACCATGTGGGCTTCGGACATAGGATGTATGCCAAGAAGAAAAGAAGAAAGAAAAATATCTTTCTTGCAGAAAAGACCCCAATAGTTGTGAGTCTCTTAGCCTCTCCAGTTATCAATTTTTCCCTGCTGAGAAAAGTCTTGTGTAGAACAGATAGTCCTCAATTTACAACGGTTCATTTAGCAACCATTCATCGTTACAACAGCACTGAAAAAAATAATCTATGACCGCTTTTCCCACTTACGACCATTTCAGCATTCCCACAGTCATGTGATCAAAATTCAGATGCTCGTATTTATGACGGTTGCAGTGTCCTGGGGTCATGTGATCCCCTTCTGTGACCTTCTGACAAGCAAAGTCAATGGGGAAGCCTGATTCACTTAACAACCTCATTACTATCTTGACAACGGCACTGATTCACTTAACAACGGTGGCAAGAAAGGTCATAAAAGGGGGCAAAACTCACTTAACAGCTGTTTTGCTTAACGACAGAAATTTTGGGCTCACTTGTGGTCGTAAGTCAAGGACTACCTGGATATATATCTGACTCCTCTTTCTTCCTTTTTCTTCCTTTTTTCCTTGCAGAAAAAACAGGAAATTTCCCTTTCTACACTAAAGTTCAAAGAATAAAAAAAGAAAAGAAAAGAAAGAAATCTCGCTTCCATGTTTGCAAACCTCATCACTCTTTCAACAAGAGGAAGCTGAGGGCTGACTGGGGCTGTCAACCCTGTTAGAATCTGGAACGAATTTGCACATTATCGTCCACCTACTGTATATTTAATCAGAAAAAGATGCCTCTGGAGTTCCAGTTGCATTCTTTCTCCTCATTTTCCAGCCCGAATCCAGGGCGAAACAGTAAAAGATGATTCCTTATGTTTTTAAAAAAAAAAAAAAAATTCAGCCGAAATGGCTTATTAAAACCAGATTTGGAAAGTATTATAAAATGCTTAGAAGCCCTTTAAAATGTCAACACAGATCCTCCGGAGACGGCTTTACTCAAAATGTCAGTCTGGTTCAAACACCTTATTTTAAGCAGAATGAATTAGCCGAGACCACTTGGCAGTTGTTATCTAAAACAATCAGTTAAGATTGGGGAAACCTTGAGACCTCTTTCTATTTTTATATATAAAAAGTGGGGGGATGGCAGGGAGGGGGGGTGCTCCCTCTACTCAGACCAATTTGGGAAGACGATTACTTAAGGAAGACAAGTTTAATCAAGAACCCTCTTAAAACGAGAGTGGACGAAACTGTTTGCCTCTTGAATCACAGGCCTAATCTTGTGGCCATAACCAGTTTTAAATCCTCTTGGCTGGCCTATATGCATTTTTATCATCCCCGAAACAAATGTACTCGCCTTATCTCACTTTCTTCTGACTAATCTAATCAATTCAGGCACCCCGTTAAAACTGTCCGACTTGCCACCGAGCTCAAAATGCGGGATTCTGTGAATCTGTTTGGCATGAAATCAATAGCTACGGTTAATCCTGCTCTTAAAAGCGTTTTCTTCAATGGCCGGATTTCACATTCGGTAGGAGATATTGACATAATACTTGGGGAGAAATTTGGGATTATGCATTGGAATGCAAAGATTAGAAGAAAACAGAACTCTTTGAAAGTAATTATTCAGGGAGTTTAAGGTTTATAAAAAGCCACTGGTTACGAGGGTAAGAGAAATTCTGCATCTCAGTGCCAATGAATGAGAATGGCGAGGCAGTTGCGAAGAGATGGGTTGCATTCTTTACAGAATGACAGAGTTGGAAGGGACTTTGGAGGTCATCTAGGCCAGGGCTTTTCAACCTTTTCACCCACTGTACCACTTTTAGGATATGGCAACATCCGAGTACCACCAGTCGCCTAGCAAGGTGTCAAAAACTTGATGACTCCCCCCCCCAAAAGGAAAAAAAGTGATAAAGTACAGGTAGTCCTTGACTTACAACAGTTCATTTAGTGACTGTTTGAAGTTACAATGGCACTGAAAAAAGTGCCCCCCAAGCCACAGCCGGGCAAGACACCTGCCTGCCCACCCAGCGGCGCTCTTCCTCCAGTCCGAGGTTTTCATTGTTGTGAGCATTTCTGTTGAGGATTGGCAGCAGGGGGGGTGGGGTGTTTGGTTTTTATTCCCCCCTGTCTGCTGGATGTTTGCAGCAGGTTTTGGTCACTTCACATGACCCTGGGACACTGTGACCGTCATAAATATGAATCAGTTGCCAAGCATCTGAATGTAAATCACAAGACCCTGGAGATGCTGCAACATTCCAGCTGATTGGCACTTCTTCTGGGCTCAGCAGAAGCGCCAGGATCAGCGCTGAGCTCCAGCTGGAGCCTGGTGCTGATCCTGGTGCTTCCACTGAGCCCTGACAGCCCTGAAGAAGCGCTGATCAGCTAGAAAGTGGCACTGATCCTGGCGCTTCCGCTGAGCCCCGACAGCCCTGCAGCTCCAGCTGTCTCTCGCTCAGGCTTGTGCGGTGCTGCCACCGGTTCAGCTCATTCCCCTCCCCCGCTACCACTTTTCTAGGATGGTCGCGTACCACCTGCCAGGTGCCAATGTACCACAGGTGGTACCCATACCACTGGTTGAAAAGCCCTGATCTAGGTCAACCCCCTGCTCAGGCAGGAAGACTTACATCATTTCAGACAAATGGCTGTCCAATCTCTTCTTAAAAACCTCCAGTGTTTGTGGCACCCACAACTTCTGGAGGCAAACTGTTCCACTGACTAATTGTTCTAACCATCAGGAAATTCCTCCTTAATTCTTCTTTATTTCACAGCTTCTCATACGCATCTGATTGTGGCACATTATTTGCAGAGCAATGAATGTGGCATCCTTGCAAGGTGTCACAAGGTCTCCAAAGCCTTCTGAAGCATCGTCAGAACGATCCCTGCCACTTGGGAGAAAAGTGTGCACCATTTGGAGAAAAATGCACACCCTTCGGAGAATGGTTTTGTCGTACAGGAGCTGCTCAACTTACAACCACAATTCATTTATGCTCAAAGAAAACAAGTACGTCAAGAACTACACATCTGGCAATCCTGTTCCCTCCCCTTACCCAATATTTTGCTGATGTTGGAGTTGTGCATATCAGGGAAAGCCTGGAGGATCTTCCGCCGTTCGTCTTTTGCCCACACCATGAAGGCGTTCATCGGGCGCTTGATGTGCGGCTCGTTGCTCCCACGCCCTCTGGATTCTCGGTAAATACGAGATTCTGAGACTCCCGCACTTCCTAAAAAGTTGGGTGAAAGGAGAGATTAGGCAGGGAGCAAATATTATTTCATTTTAATTCATCCTCCCATCATGGACATCTCGTGGAAGATTCATCCCACCTGGATGTTTGAAAATCCAGAATTGTTTATTTCGTAGTCAAACTTGGTAACTTGCGACCAGCTTGGCTTGGCTGCCTTCAATAAAAGCTTGGGCCCATTCATGCAAGTCATGTTGTGGTAGCCTTCTTCTTGCAAAGAGTTAGTGGCATACAAGTAGTCCTCGACTTACAACCATTCATTTAGTGACTGTTCGAAGTGACAACAGCACTGAAAAAAAGCAACTTATAATGGGTTTTCACACTTATGACTGTCGCAGCAGGCCTGTGGTCAGGTGAACAAAATTCAGACACTTGGCAACTGGCATGTACTTACGACGGTTGCAGTGTCCCAAGGTCATGTGATCCTCTTTTGCAACCTTCTGACAAGCAAAGTCAATGGGGAAGCAGATTCATTTAACAACCGTGTTACTAACTTAACAACTGCAGTGATTCACTTAACACCTGTGGCAAGCAAGCTCGGAAAATGGAGCACTCACTTAGCAACTGTTCTCGCTTAGCAACAGAAATTTTGGGCTCAATTGTGGCTGTAAGTCAAGGATTACCTCCTATATGCACTGTTTTGCTTATTGCCTCTGGATCCAAAAGAACCAGTTGCCTGGTCACCTGATCACTACCCTGACACTCAGCACAACATGGGGATCAACAGCCATTGTCCTTGACGGCAGTGTGACTGCCTCCGAAGGCCATCTGCTAGGAATCTATTGGCTTCCTGAAGAAGGTCCCAGAGCCCTGATGGGCTCTAACAACAACAACAACAACAGTACAGTTGGAAGGGACTTTGGAGGTCATCTAGTCCAACCCCCTGCTCAGGCAGGAAACCCTACACCATTTCAGACAAATGGCTGTCCAGTTTCTTCTTAAAAACTTCCAGTGTTGGAGCATTCACCGCTTCTGGAGGCAGGTTGTTCCACTGGTTAATTGTTCTAACTGTCAGGAAGTTTCTCCTTAGTTCTAGGTTGCTTCTCTCCTTGATTAGTTTCCACCCGTTGCTTCTTGTCCTGCCTTCAGGCGCTTTGGAGAATAGCTCGACTCCCTCTTTGTGGCAGCCCCTGAGATATTGGAACACGGCTATCATGTCTCCCCTCACCCTTCTCTTCATTAGATTAGACACACCCAATTCCAGCAACCGTTCCTTACATGTTTTAGCCTCCAATCCCCTGATCATTTTTGTTGCTCTTCTCTGTACTCTTTCTAGAGTCTCAACATCTTTTTTACATCGTGGTGACCAAAACTGGATGCAGCATTCCAAGTATGGCCTTACCAAGGCATTGTAAAGTGGTATTAACACTTCACGTGATCTTGATTCTATCCCTCTGTTAATGCAGCCTAGGACTGTGTTGGCTTTTTTGGCAGCTGCAGCACACTGCTGGCTCATATTTAGGTGATTGTCTACTAGGACTCCAAGATCCCTCTCACAGTTACTACTATTGAGCAAGGTACCCCCTATACTATACATGTACATTTGGTTTTTCTTACCTAAATATAGAGCCTTACTTTTTTCACCATTGAATTTACAACAGTTCTCCGTGGAACTTCAGTGACTCTAGTCTATTTATTCCTAAGGAGATTTTTCAAGAGGCAACTGGACTTCCTTTGTTTTTCCTTGAAGATATTTCGCTTCTCAGGTAAGGAGCTTCTTTAGTTCTGACTGAATGGTGGCAAATGGAATGTTTTATATTCCTTGCGGTCATCTCCACCATTCTCCAGTTGACTCTTGAAAAAGGACCTTTGGGACAACCATGGCCTGGATGACTGAGAATCTCCATAGCCATCTAGTCTAAGTTTATTTCTTTCTTCGCCAGGTTACGGTGCCAAATCTGTCTTTTGTCTGGGTTCAGACTCAGCCAAGGACTTTGCAGGAAATAAGGAAAAAAAAATTCCACAGATTGAAAGCATCCCACCCCCCAACCTTTGCTGAGTTAATGTTTCTTTCCATGCTTGAGGAGGAAAGATCTCAAGGCTCTTTCTTCACTGATAGTGTGTGCCCAGGCACGGCTGGAAAGAAGGCAAAAAGCCGGGGCTACTGACCGTCGGAGTCTCCGCTCATGTTGAAATCTATCATCGCGTGGCTAAATTTCCCATCTTCGTTCTGTTTGACTGCCAGCTGTTGAGTCAGATTCTCCAGTGTCGTTTTGTCCTGGATGAGGAAAGAAAAGAGAATACAAAGCCGTCTTTTATTAATATGCAATGAAGCCGCAACATAAATACGTAATTTGAAAGGTTTCTTGGGGGAAAGAAGATTAGCATATAAGAAAAACTTGTTGAGCTGGGAAAATAAAGTAATGGGGAAAGTAACAATCTTTTTTTTTTAGAAAGGAATTAAGAATTACGATTGTGGATATTCATTCTTCTCGGCAAAAGAATGGGGTTTTTTGGCTAATGATGTGCAAATCCCCAAAACTTTGTGAAACTCAGATTGTTATAATAATTATTTGAATGCCCAAACTCCAAATAGCTTCTCGGAGTCGGGCGGCCTTAACAATCCTAATAAAGCATTATTTTCTTTATATTGTGATGTTAGCTGCTGAGAATCGTTTGTTGGGTGGGGTGGACCTGTAAATTGATTGGCTGAATGAAGAAATAACATTTTATTTTTTATTTTTTTAAAAAAAGGCCAAATGGTTCAACTAACAGTTATTGAATTGCAGCAAAATTTTGTTTCGTTTCTTATTCATCAACCCAAATAAAAGTTGTTTATTTTTCTGATATTTTGTTTAATCAAAACAGTAAGGCAAAGACAGCACTGAATCAAGCTCAACTCCCGCTGACTATGTCCATACTTTTTCTGCACTGATGAGGTTGCATGGATTTGTTTATAGATAAGACATGCAATATGGGAAGAAGAGATAATTTGTTGTATTTTAAGATAAGGTGGTAAGTTACACTAATAATATCATTTATATTGTATTTGTGATGAAGTGGGAAGTCATTTCTTTGTATACAGGTAATCCTCAATTAATGACTGTCATCAAATCAGTGTGATCATCAAATCAGTGCATGAGATAGTATGGCAAACTTTGGCCTTCTGTTCTGAAAATTAAATTACATTTCAAGTCTTTCCTATTAAATATATGTCCAGCAATTCCAACTCCCCAATTCTGTAGCTATTCATCTAGCCCTTACTGGGCCAATCGGCCTTATTTTTTTAATCACATTTATATCCCACTATATGATAGAAAGATCAAAGGACAATCTAAGAAAATGGGGGTACCCAAGAAGATGCTCTGTGTGAATGCAGAGAAAACCCATCCATCCCACATTTTCTATGGTGCATACAATGCCCTTCAACATGCAAGGAGTAAGACCTCAGGCTGGCGAGAGAAGATGCTATCAACATGGTCCAATACTGGGCAAAAGCCATTTAGTTTTAATCCTACTTATTTTACTTCCTTTTAAACCTGCTATATTTTTATGACCTATTTTATGCCAATTTTACTTGCTCAGTATCAAATGTTGTACCTCTATAATGTGTAGGTGCTTGTGACCCAAATAAAGAAAGATCTCACCCCAATCCCAAGTAGATTCCCGTCAGTCCACAAAAGAAGACAATAATTAAATCACAAATAATACAAAAATACAATGCCTACAGACATCAAACATCGATACACAAGTGCCATCCAGAAAGTAGCAATAGCAGCAGCACTTATATACTGCTTCACAGTGCAGTATACAATGTCAGCCTATTGGCCCCAACAATCTGGGTCCTCATTTTGTCGACCTCAGAATGATGAAAGGCTGACTCAAACTTGAGACTGTAAGGATCGAACTCCAGGCAGTGGGCAGAGTTAGCCTGCAATACTGCCCTTTAACCACTGTGCCACCAGGGCTTCAGCTGTGTCTTCAGCTGTTTCTGGAAGAAGGAGCCAATCAAAGGTCTTTTCCTTCATACCTGATGGCCTCCAGCTTTCCATTCATTCTGTCAATCACTGTACTCCAGGTTCTTTTGAGTTTTCCCTTAATTGGGGAGCTGGATTAACTAGGGCAGGGCAGTTGTAAAACAGCCATAAATTGTTTGGAACTCTGGCATGCATCCACACAATTTTTTTGAACACAAGCTTCCTATAAGCCCATGTTATGCCTCAAAGAACTATGAAACAACATTGAGCACTAAGGACATAGCTCAGAGTGATATGTCTTTGTTTAGCCTTTAGATAAGCAGGCAGAGCTGGGGGGCAAGGTGGAGATAAGTGCATCATCAGCTGAGAGTCATTACATTCCCACAAATGGTCCAAGTTCAACCCCTCCCTTATTTGGTGCCAATTTACTTTTGAACTTTAGTTGACTAGATTCGTGGTGCTGCAGCATAATGGATGCTCCTGATTCTTTGCACCTGACATTATTGCAAGGTTACCCAATCTTGACAATTTTAAGATAAGACCTTTATTCTCATTCTCTCTCTCTCTCTCTCTCTCTCCTTCCCTCCCTCCCTCCCCCCCCTCTCTCTATATATGCCTGTTAGGCTTTCTCTGAGTAGGAATCCTGCAATCCTAAGGCCGGAAGATGCTTTCATATGCATTTATATGTAGAACTGCCAAACGATCGCGTGGTGAGCGCACAAGACCTTCTATTTTCACAAGTTCAACTGGAACCGCTTTTAGCTGCCTTTCACTGCAGCCTGACACTGGAGTCTCTGTTTCGGGGACAAGGTGACCCCCTCACCTCTCGCTACTCAAACATGCAGTATAATAAAATAATTCAATTAGTCACCATCAAAAGGAAAGCTGAGATAATTCTCAGAGGCTGTCACTCCAAAACAAACCATGTCAAAACAGTCAGCCATGCTTTTATGGTGCCCCTCCGAGCCATGACTTGTGTGAACCTTCAGTCAATCTTGGTGCTGAGGAAAGGGAGAAAAATGGCACGTGGGAATCGTGGCGGAGCAAGGGAGGTGAAAAGTGAGTTGCAAAAAGCTTTAATTATAAAACAAATCAGGCGGAGATGGCCCCAATAGTTACACTGAACCAATCAAGTAGCAAAACACTGTTTCCCCCACCACCTCTCTCTCTTTCTATATATATATATATATCAGAAACATTCGCATGAACAAAATACATTATTTGATCTGAAAACAAAAGACCTGCTAGTCCACAAATTAAATGATTTGAATCAAAGACGGGACAACTTTTCAAGTCATGTCTCTGCTGGGATGTAGAAGGGGGTTAGAGGGGAAGAAAAGTGTTAAGTTTTTAAAAGGCCTAATTAATGGGGGTTACATTATTTCCTCAATGCTCATTTCAACTTGTGAAACAGTAAGGTATTTCTGGACTATTCTACGAAACCCAGTGCTATTATTTACAGAGATTAGAAAAGGGAGATGAAAAGTCATCACCCAGTGCAGGGGTCTTCATACTTGGCAACTTTAAGACTTGTGGACTTCAACTCCCAGGATTCCTCAGTCAACTAGGGCTGGCTGAGGAATTCTGGGAGTTGAAGTCCACAAGTCTTAAAGTTGCCAAGTTTGAAGACCCCTGATCCAGTGGAATCACTTGAAGAAGAGATATTGTCTTATAATAAGCTACACAAAAGAATACAGTAGTCCCTGACCTACAACTACAACTGAGCCCCAACATTTCTGTTGCTAAGTGAGACAGTTGTCAGCTGAGTTTTTCCTCATTTTACAAGTGATGTTGGGCGGCGAACAATCATAAAACAATTAAAAAACCATTAACAACATAGTACCATAAGAAAGGCTGAACACCAAAGAATTGAGGCCTTTGAACTATGGTGCTGGAGAAGACTCCTGCGAGTCCCTTGGACTGCAAGGCGTTCAAAACAGTCAATCCTGGAGGAGATCAACCCCAACTGCTCTTTAGAAGGCCAGATCCTGAAGTTGAAACTCAAGTATTTTGGCCACCTAATGAGACGGAAGAACTCACTGGAGAAGGGCCTAATGCTGGGAAAGATTGAGGGCAATAGAAGAAGGGATGACAGAGAATGAGATGGCTGGAGGGAGTCACTGAAGCAGTAGGTGTGAACTTAAATGGACTCCAGAAGATGGTAGAAGACCTGGAGGAACGTTGTCCATGGGGTCGCGATGGGTCGGATACGGCTTCGCAATTAACAACAACAAAACAAGCCTTCCATCCTTCCGAGGTAGGTAAAATGAGGACCCAGATTGTTGGGGGCAATGTAAAATATATATATATACATTGCTTACTGGTGTACACCACTTAGAGAGTGCTTGCACTTAAAGCGGTATATAAGTCTCATAAATAAATAAATAAATAAATAAACAGTACAAAGCTACGTATATGTGGCAGTTGAGGAAAAATAGCCATCATAAATGTCAATATAGCCAGGAAATGGGCCCTTCACAAACTCAGGGCCCCAGACCAGGACACATAATATAGTCTCCAAGGCCTGATGAAAGACCAGCAAAGTTGGGATCATCCTGATCTCTGAGGGAAAATGTGGCGGAAAGCAGGCAGCAGCGAAGGCACTTCTAGTCCTGTCCAGCCGACATTCCTTGGCTGACAATCCCATAGCATGCCCAACCTGTCAGACCAAATTCGACAGGTAGCAACCATTGGGAGAAGACAATCCCTCAGGTAACCCAATCCCACTTCAACATTTCAAGTTTCAACATTTCAACATTTCATGTTGTCTTCCGTCTGGCTTTCAGTTCTGTGGGGCAGCTCTGAAATTCGAGATCCTAAATCTAATTCTCCAATAGGAGCTTTCCTCTTCAGATGCCAAAGTGGATTACTTCAAAACATGGCCAACATTTTTGCTGTATTCGGAAGGCTTCCTGTTTATAAAACTGAGGTTGCCTCGGACTTCAGTTCATGCTAAAACACCCTCTTATTGCAGCTTTTTTCACCACACTTCAAATTAAGTGCTGCTTCTTGGTCTATTTAGTCCTGCTCAGGATTTGGGTTCTGAACTTTGAAGGCCACATAATTTAACAGCATGAGGGCCCAAACCCAATAGCTAAGTCATTCAAAGAAGAGAGAAAAAGACCTCAAAAACACCGTGAGGCAAAACAAGAAGCCATGGATTGAATTAGACCAGAAGTTGTGGGTGCTCCATCATAGGACGTTTTTAAGAAGAGATCGGACGAACATCTGTCTGAAATAGTATAGGGTCTTTTGCCTGAGCATGGTGTTGGACTAGATGACCTCCAAGGTCCCTCCCAAC